GCCGCTCACCTGTATCCGGTGCCGCAGCTCTCGGAACTTCTCTTTCACGCTAGTGTTCAGTTCAGTGAGTGCGCTTAATGGTCCCGGACAATCCCGAATATCCTAGGAGACATGGAAGAGGTGAGGGGCTTTCTCGAGGCAATGCCGTGACATGGACACCAGCTGCACAGGGACCGCAACCCCGGCTGGCCCCTGACTGCAGTTCATCCTGATCTGTGCTGTCTCCCTGTGCAACACAAGCAAACACATTACTGTTTACACGTTTCTCCTCCCTCTCTAAATTAGGTTTGAGTAGGTAATATAAAAGCCTAGAGAGAAGAAACACAACTCTACCCTGACTTACTAGTTCCTGCAGTTTAAAGAAACACCCCCTGGTGAGTATGAAAGAGTTAAAGTAACCTGTGGGTCCAACTAACAGAAATCCCAAACTGATACTCATGACTTTAGGTCTTTGAAAACTGGGGTGCTAAATTCCTGGCATCATATGACAAGATTAACTTCAATCTGATTTGACAAACCCTCTATTACAAATCGCTGTGGTTACAGATATATTCAAGAACACCTTTCAAGTTTGTTTCTGGATGGTCGGAATTATTGGAGCCAGGTTTTAGAGCAGGCCCTGGGGACGGACTATGCGGATTCAGGTTCTGGCTGTGTATTTACTAGCTGTGCAACCTTGGGGAAAGGAATCACTTGATTTCTCTCTGCCTCAGTTTCCTCATCACATTACCCACTTCACAGACCACGTATGTACGTAAAGCATGCAGCCGAGGAGCTGGGACACAGAGCGTACTGAATCCAGCTGTCGTCGACCCTTTTCATTAGATTTTAGAAACAGCCCGATGTTTTGTAGCTTGCACACGGGAGAAGGAAAGTTCAAGAAGTTTAAATGATTGCATCGTTTCCTCACTTGCCCCTTGGCTTACTCATTAAATCACGCTCCCTGGCACCAGATGGTAAACCACTAATTTGGTTTATTTTGCATCTCGTCTCCGTGGTGGCCCTACTGTCCTTCACTCTTTGCCCCAGCTAGTTGCAAACTCTGAATCCATATCTAATGTTTAAAAACATTTGCTGGAAATGGCAACGATCTGCCCAAAACCAAGGTCTGAAACGCTTGGCTTCTTTTTGCTAAACTTAAGGAACCATCACTACATTCCTAACTCTTGACTATGGCAATAGGTTTATTGCACTACTTCCTCCCGCCCTTACGTGGCTTCAGTAAGCCGAAGCACCTCAATGACCTAAGTCCCTTCTCTAGGCTAACTCCCAGTTCTGCCACTATCTGCCTTCAGGTTCAGTCTCTGCCGGTTCACTCGATTTCCTCATTTACAAAACCACAACTACGTCCCGGTGACGTTCATTTCACCCGGTCCCTCCCGTGCCAGGTGGCCTTGGGTGCCACCTGGCACCAGACCCGTTGGAGCTGGCCAGCAGGGGGCGGGGCTAATGCCTCCAGAACTCTACCGAACGGTGGGGAGCGCCGTATCAGAAGTTCAACAGGGTGACGGGTACCTTGAGAGGTGGTCCAGGGCAAGGCGATACCCTGGGGTCCGGATGGGAGGGACCAAGCGGGGCCACAAAGGCGACCCCTGGTCAGGGGCGAGGAAAGGGGTGTCCCGGGAAAGGGCGAGCCAACGGCACCTGGATGCAGGCTCAAGGCTAAAGGTCTAGGGGAAGGGTCCAAAAGCGGCTAGAGAGAAGGTAGCCGGCCATACAGCGGGGCCAACGACCAGGGAGACTTGACCAAGTAGGTAAAGCTCGGATGACACCGCGAAGTTCACAGGAGACGAGCAGAGCCCGGGTTTGGGGCAGTGGGAGCCCAGCAGGGGCCCCGAGAATCAGTACCTGGATAAGTGCCTTCACCTCCAAGTCGAATTTGACAATCTCTTGGTTGCAGATTCGGACGTGGACATCTTGGGTAGCCGCCATGTTTGAGACGCCGGCTACGGGCAGCGGCGGTGGCCAATTTCAAACGCGTTTTCTCGCTTCCCCGTCTTGCTACAGCGCCCCCTAGAGACTGGCCTAAGGCCAGCGAGATTGGCGGCGCCAAGTCGTGGGGACTTTCCCCAGCATGTCGCGGTGAAATCGTTCTCGCAGCTCTTGTTGAGGCCCCCAAAAAACGGAGAGGAAGAGAAGAGAGAATATCAAGAATGCTTTCACAATGTCCTCTCTCCGTCTCCCGCCGATCGGCCATTCTAACGATTACAGATTTTTTGCATTGAGGTTTGGGGTCGGAGGGGAGACTCAAAGAAAAGTCCCAACCGGGATATCTCTGGAAGGTGGCACTGACACATTTTTATATTTCTTTAAGTTGTCTTGCATGTTTCATATTGTACAGTGAACCCACATCACGTCTCCGTGCCTCAGTGCCCTCAGAGGCCACCTGGTGGTACGCACGGGGTCGGCTGGAGGATTCAGTAAGACGCGCAAAGGCCCCAGCACAGTGTGGGGAGGTGGCCTCTGGGAAGAGCGCAGTGGCCTACGGCTGCTATTATTATGTTACTGACATTTTAGAAGCACTTCCTATGTGCCAAGCACTTTGTACTAACTACTACATGTGCACCATCTAATTTAACTCCCACAACCGCCCCATGAGATAGAATCACCCCCCTTTCACACACGAGGGAACCGGCACAGGGCTCGATCATTGCTCGGCGCGAATGGAATCGCCAGGCCCAAGGACATGGCCGTTTAAGCGTTCCGACCCATGCCACCCAACTGCTCTCCACAGAGGTTCTGTCTGTGGGAGTTCACACTCCCACCCGCATGCGTTACCAATGCCTGCTTCCCACGGCCTTGGCAACCTGGCGTGTTCAACGCTGGGATTTTTGCCAATCTGATTAAGTGAAAAATGCCATTTTTTAAATTTGCATTTCTCTCACCATGAATGAGGTTGAGAGTTATTTGTATTTATTGTCTGCTGGTTCCTCTATAGGGTTGTTGGTCTGTCAATTCCCAAGGGCTCTTTCTATAATAGGATTAGCCCTTGGCCATGAACTTTCCTTAGTCTATAGAATTTTGAATGTTGAGTTGGCTTAGTGTTTTTTGGGCTTCAAAAGTTTATTTTATTTTTTTGCTTTTTGTTTCACGTAGAATTTACCGATCTCCACTTACGACTTCCGGATTTGGGATCCACATTTGGAAGCCCTCCCACCAGCAACAGGAATTGTTTCTTTTCTTTCTTTTTTTAACATCTAGATCTTTACCCATTTTGAAAAGTATGGTGGCAGAGAATGTGAGGTATAGAGCCAACTTGACTTTCTCCAGCTACCCGATTGTTCCAACACTATTTTCTGAAGAATCCACCTTTTTCTTGCTGGCTCAGGGTGCCGCATTTATCGTGCTAAATTCTTATGCTGGATGTATTTCTGTTCTGTTGGCCCAGTCATTCATGCACCAAAATGACTTTTTTTCCAAGATTTTATTTATTTATTTTAGAGAGGGGGAGGGAGAAAAAGAGGGAGAGAAACATCAATGTGTGGTTGCCCCTCATGTGCCCCTTGTTGGGGACCTGGCCTGCAACCCAGGCACGTGCCCTCACTGGGAATCGAACTGGCGACCCTTCGTTTTGCAGGCCCGTGCTCAATCCACTGAGCCACACCAGCCGGGGCTAAAATGACACTTTTAATTATTATAGTTTTATATGTTTTAGTATCTGTTAGGGATTAAACACCCCCTCCCCCCCAGCATCTCCCACCTATTATTTTCCCCATGTGAACACATTTTTTTTTAACTCTATTGGTATGTCCTTATTGGGATGGCATTACATTTTTTTTATTTAATGTAGGACTGACAGCTTTATTGACTGCTCCTGTTAAGGCACTTGGTCTACCTTTGCATTTGCTCAAGTTTTCTATATCCTTCATAGTATTTTCAAGATTTCCTTAGACCTTACACATTGTGTTGATTCTAAGATGAAAATTTCTTCAAGAAATGGAAGTCCACATTATTCAGGTCAAAAACCCCGGCTCTTCAAACGGAAGCTACAGGGCAATGAAGAAGCCCCAAGTCTGCAAGCGGCAGAGCTGCCCACGTGACCTCGGGCCTCTTTTAACATCCTGCTTCCACTCACTGGAAATTCCTATGTCATCAACAGTCCCCAAATGCATCTCTCTGCAATTAAAGAAGAAAACACAGCTCCCCTTTTCTCCACCCTTCAACACAGTCCCGTCTAACAAAATGACCCAACTCTAAGCTAGAGGTCCTCTTTGAGGGATAGGTACACAATACGGTGACCCACACTCCCCAACTGCCAACGCTGTTTGGTTCCCATCGCCTTTAGCCACTGATCCTGAGACCATCTTTTGGTTCCTACATCTGCTAGGTGTTGGCTTTAGTTCCTTCTGGTTTTCTGAGTCTAAGCCCCCTGGTTCTCTCCTACACAGACATCCATCCCAACACTGCCCGGGCCCGGGCCCGGTCCCTTAGAAGTGAGGGTGGGTGGTCTCCGAGCCCAGCAAGCAGACTGGAGTTGTCTGCACCGGAGTTCCACATCACACGAGCTGGGTCTGCGGCGAGTGCCCTCCTCCAAGCCTTGTCTGATGACTGCCCACCTCACTGGACCCCTGAGCGCAGCAGCAGGGTTCCCTGACAGGACAGCAGCTAGCAGGGGCTTCCTGAATGCCACCCTAGCTTTCTAGGACTTTCTAACTCCTCCTTGCTGTTCTGAACCTTCCAGCCAGGACACTAAAGGATTTCCCGACTCTAAGTATTCTTACTTAAGGGACTCAAAACATTTCCTCTCTCTCAGAAAGCCCGCTTGCTCAAAGCATCGAAGGGGAGAAATAAGTATACGCTGTGCTCCAAGCTATAAAGAATGCAAACGTTTATCAATTAATAATTCTGCCTAATAGCTAAATTTCTTCGTAGTTCTCTGCCGTCTTCCGTTTGGAATTTCTTGGCAGTGGGTTGTCCGAAAAGCGGATGGCTGCCTTGGTGAGCCACGGGGAAGCCACGGAGACAGGACGGCGAACACACGAGGCAGGCAAGTCAAAACCTTTTCTTTCCATCTTTTTTTATTTTAAATTACAAAGGACGTTGCATACACGGATGAAATCTGTGACTAGAAGTGCTGAGGGGACTGGAAGGGGACAGAAAACAAAGGCAACGTGTGAATCGCCTTTTCTCCGGAAAAGAAAAACTGCACAACTATTAACCAACATTTAATAGAATAATTTTTAAACAGCTCATGCGTCAACAAGATAAAATTCTTTCTAGACAAAAGACAAGACTGAATCCAATTAAAAGTTTCATAGCTCCAGTTGGGGGGTGGGGTGGGGTGGGGAGGGGGGGCGGAGGAACAAGACGACAGAAGATGACAGCATGACAAAGAGGATCCTACGCAGCTATGCAAGAGAGGTCGCGCATTGTATGGACAAATGCTCTGAATTCTTGCCCTTCTGGCTCTTCTCTTGTGACTTCTCGTGCGAGGTCAGCCGTCGCGTGACTGCCAGCCACAAATGCTGCATTGCAGGACAAATCCCAGGGAGAGAAGGCAGAAAAGGCAGGCAGTGGAATACAGCGTCATAAAAAATGCGGTCGGAAGGCAGATACAACACACGCATACACATTTCTGTTATTTGGTTCTGGGAGGAAAACCAAGGGCAAGACACAGCAGTCAGTCCCGCTCCCACCCCACCCCCGGGGTTTAACCGACGACACCCCTGTGATGAAAGAGGCAAAAGCAGTTCGCCCCAACTTGGCACCTGACACCCCAACTCTGGTGTTCTGGGCAGGTCACCACGTCTCCGAAACACTATCTGGAAGTAGCTTTAAGGTTCCGTTCCCTCATGACTACCCCCAAATCTCTCTTTTCTGAACAGAAATGGCAATTTGGCAGAATTCGGTCCCTAGGTGTAAGTTCTACAGCTTCAGTCAGTTTACTAAGCAGGAGGGCTATGCTTCAACACATGACCCCACGCGCCTGCGGAGTGTAAAGCGTTCAGTAGTGCATTTCACCGTCTCGCCCCTGTGCGCTTATTCCTTAAAACGAAACAACCATCCCTACCGGGGACGTTCGCGGTTACACCCCGACGTGTGTGAAGTAGTAAAAAAACATGGAGTCATCTTCTCGTAATGCCCTTATTGAGAGTACAAAGATTACAAAAGAATCCACAAGTATTACGGCACTGGGTGAGACGGGTCTGTCATGATTCGAGGGAAGAACGAGACTGGAGTTTTGTGCGGAGTTGTGGCCACGGCCTCGGTCCCACGGGAAACGCTATTCCACAACGGACTTCACTAGGACGCCGAACACTGGAGCACGATTCGATGCATCCTCAAAATTCAAGTTTCAAGATTTGGAGAGATGCTAACATTCTGTTACACACTTAACCAGAAAATACTTAAACAAAACTTCAGGAAGACTATATAAAGAAAGGGAACAAAAGGGTTAATGTCCGCTGAAGGCAACTGGAATTCGTCTCTTAGAAAGTTAACTAAATCTTAGCAGCTAAAATATTTTTACACGTGTGGGAATAAAGAAAAGCACATCCATTCTTGACATTTTGGTGAATAAACTAACAGCTTTATTAATGAAGGCAAACATCAGATAATTGTATGAATATTATATATATAAAAAAGAAATCCAAACTAACAGCATTGTATTTCAAAAGTACTGTACTTCTGTTTCTTTTAAAGAGACTTGTCATCTGTTTTATAAAACAAACAAAACGGATACTCTTCTAAAAAATTCTGGAAAAATGAAATAGTCAACTTCAAGCTGATGAACAGGACACACCTTTCTTTAAATGCAGACTACTGCGATGAAGCAAATGAAGTCAAGCATCAGAAAGAAGATGTACGACCAACTGATGAGAATCAGGACAGAGGGGCGTAGTGGAACCACCGCTTGCCCCCCCACCTCCTGTTCGGAAACCTCTCAAAGCCGGTCTTCCGGACAAATATAAAATCACTAGAGAGAGAGACAGAGGGAATCTGAAACCATACCCATCTGAAATCCTTCATGATGTTTGTAGAATAGCTTTGATTCTCTTACCAAAAAGGTCGAAGTGAAAGATTTAGGAAGTGGAAGGGAATGAGACGGTTTGTTTTCATGTACAAGTAAGGCACAATATAAAGCCACATCATAATCTGTCATGAAGAATACAGGAAGGGACAAGATCATACATGGTACAATAGAACAGGCAATCATACTGACTGGAGAAGTGTGGCACCCAGTTCAAAACTCAGACAAGATCTTAACAAGAACAACTGGACAGCATGCTTTCATTATGGAGACAAACTCTATAAAGAATCCAGTGTATCTGAAACGAGGAAGAACGTTTTTTGTTTTTTTTTTTGTTTTTTTTTTGTTTTGTTTTGTTTTGAAATCATAGTACTACTAGAGTCAGAGTCTCTATAATTGCTTTTGGAACAATGGGTTCATCTGAGGTGAGTTCACAATGCCTTCACTTAAAGACAGAGTCTGGACGTCATTATGAGTGATCTGTATACCATGTATGAGCAACACGGAAAACCTTTAGAGAGCTCTTCTCTAAGGATCTTCGCCCAAAAATACATGCCACAATTTCAAAAACAGAACATGTACAATTGTTGGGGTTTTTACATTACCCTTATAAGATTTGTTTGTGTGATACATTAAACATATATATTTAATGACAATAGAGGAAGCAGATTATTACTGGCATTAAAGTACAACCATTTCTAGACGGTTTTAAATGCCACAGAGTCCCCTGGTTAAAATGTAAAGCTGCACAGCTTGCCTATGTCATCTCTATGATCAAGTTAAAACAGCAAGAGGGTTTAACTCGCACTCTACATTTTACCGCCAGGTTTTTGTTTAGATCAAGTATCGCTGCAGCATTCTGACCAGCCCAGATTTAGCAGCAAATGGCAGGAATCATATAAAATGCAAATTTTTTTAACAAAGTGCTTTTCTAAGATATACATACGTATATAAATAGGTACAAAATAAAGTGTCAACATTAAAAAGCTCAACTATTTAAAAGCTTTTAACTATTTAACTTAAGTAGTACATATAAAACACTGAAATGCAAGGATATGGAATCTACTAAACAGATTCAAAGTCTTTTTTGAAATGCAAGACCAAAAAATCAAATTCTGGTTTGCAGAGAGGAAAAAGGTATCAAAAACCAGAATTCCTAACAGAGCAGCTAGAAAGGGGCAATTTTAGAAATCTCATCAGCTGAATCTCTATCATAAAATGACTTTCCCCTGATTGCAAAACTGCTGTATTTTGGAATACGTCTTAATTTGCCAGATACATTCTGTCAAAACTTTACATACTTCCAAGTTACAAACCTGTGCTTTGCATTCTCCCACCTAAAAAGGAAACACTTTAAACAATGAGCTCACATTCTATTCAACCAACAGATCTGAGCTTATCATCTGTTCGGTGTGAACACACTAACCAGGCACATTTCCACCAAGCACACCACAGGCTCGGGTGTGTCACAGTGCACGAAGTCAAAGAAGCGTGTGAAGCATCGCTCGGGTGTTACTGTGTGTTTTAGAATCAAACCTTTGTAAGCTAGAGCTTCGTGTGCAATCGCTTACAAATGCCTGGGGGTGGGAGGAGTAAAAGAAAGGAAATACACGATACAGACAAACTATAATTAAAGAATACATTCTCCAATGGGTAATGGAGAAATAGATACTCTCTCAGCAGCTAGGTCTGAAATTTTTGGTATTTTTTTTCTGGCTAGGTAGGAATTTTTTTTTTAACATATAGTTTTAAGCTACCAGTTTTCAGAATTCAAACCACAAGATTTGAGAATCACACAGTAAGAGAGAGAGACAAGCTGGAAAGGTCTGGGGGAAGGGTTACAATGCTGCCTTGACACAGAAACTTCTCATCGAGAGGTAAAGCTTAAACACAGTTAAAACACTGACTAATGAAGCTGTTTCATGTGAGCAAAACAGAGCACCTAAAAACTAAATGTGTTAGTATTTCTCAGTTCTAGAAACTATAGAAGAAGTCACATGTAAGTCTGAAGAAGCTAGTTTGAAAATACCTGTACAAAAATATAAAAATCTATAAATTTTTTTGTTTTTGTTTTAAGCTTGTGTTGATCTTTGAAAATATCACATGCACAATAATACATCCATTGGAAAAGTGGCAACTAAAGAATTAGATATTTTTAGCTTTTCTCTTTCTTTACATATATATACATAATACAATAAAAATAATCTGTATTTTGGTTGTTTGGTGGAAGTATACTACAATAAGCTAAATAAACTTTAAATTTTCAAGGTCAAAAACTATTTTATCAATAGCTTACTAAAATGAAATATATTAAATTTTTCTACAATAAGTGCAGAAATAAAAAGACGAGACACCTAAATGGCCACCAACTTATCTACCGTGGAAGCGAACTAGAGGAACAGCGAAATCATAGTTGTACATGTGGGTGCTCCTTCTGTAGATAATTGGACCCAAACAGAAATAAAATTCACAGTTCAGTAAGATCCCTAACCCTGACCTTTTCGTTTTCTTTTTTCTCCTTTTATTCATACATTCATACAGTATCATGTAAGCTGTGCAAAACTTTACTTAGACTGGCAGTTTGCCATATCAGTTGCATTTGTCTTTGGTACAAAAAATAAAACAATCGCAATAATGTGCAAGTATTTGTCTTCTTCCGGTCAAGTACCGAAATATGAGTTTTCTAGAGCCATCTTTTTTTTGTTTGTTTTTTGTTTTGTTTTTTTTTATACAATACACAGACTCTGTGGCATATATCTACATTTCAACATAGTCCTATATACATTCAAAAATTCTGAAAAAGAGTTGGAACAAAAAAACATTTAAACCCCATAATTTTTCCATCTATATATCTTGTTTTTCCTCATTAGGGTTTTCATCATACAAAATATTACCAGTTTTATAGTTTCCCCAAAATACAAGGCACAAAGAATATGCTTTTTTTCTGACTCGCACAGACATTATATATATATTTATATATTTATATATGCCGCATTGAGCTCGGAACGCGAACATCGGACACGGCGCACGGCCTGAGTGCTGGGCTGTGCCGCGGACAAGAGAGACTGATGGGTGTGGGAAATTAGAACAAAAAGCAATAATTCTAAAAACAATCTAAACTGCTTTAAAAAACTGCTTCCTCGATTTTTTTGTAGTTCAGAACATAAACCTGCCACGATATTTGGCATTTACTAAAAAAATCTTCACCCCCCAAAATGTTCTGCTTTAACAGATTTTTGCGATCTGTATCTAAACATTTAGTTAGATGTGTGAGTTTCAATTTTGATGCCAGTAGCAGTTGTAACCATGGTTTACGCTCTGAAAATGCAATAATCAAGTGTTTTGGATCATGCTTCACTTATGCTACTTAGTTCTTAAAACAATGTAACCTAATTGCAAATGTTTACATAATGCTAAACTGACATGCAAAACAGAATGAAAATTTACAACGGATAACATGACAAACTCAGACAGTTCTGACCAGTGGTCCAATGAGGCTGATTACACTTTTGACGTTGGTATCCTCAGTCCTACAAGGCCTCCGGTGGGGTTGCCTTCTGCGGTCTTCTCTAACACTTGGTTAACAAATTCTGAGGTTTGCCCAGCAACTGGGAGACCTGCAGAAAGAATCAAAGGCACACTTAGACGCAGAAATGGAGGGCGCATGAGTGGAGGAGGGGTGGCCCTCAGCTTGATACTGGTCCCAGATGCATCCTCTGCTCCTTGCTACTGCAGCCCAGAAAATAATTCCACCCACTAGATTAGAGCTGACAATTTTAAGATCAGAAGGGCCAAATCAAGAATAACCATAAAGAAATGGTTAATCAACCTTACAAAGTGGGGCAGACGACAATAGCAGTCCAAAAGACAGAAATGCAGAGCTTGCACATTATAACACATACAAAAAACAAACCATGAAAATGAATCATATAGTGAATGACATGAAAAGGGAAAAAAAGCCATATGAACAAATCCTAACAGATCTTTTTATGACAGAACTAAAACTGAACTTATACCAAGAATAAAAATGAGCTAAATTCACCTATTGAAGAAAAACTCCCAGATTGACTATTAAAGAAAATTCCACTATGTATTATAATGTAAAAATGAACTTTGTGGTATGCAAATCAAAAATTCATCATGCAAAATCAAAGTTCATCTAACAATGAACTTTGTGGTATGCAAATCAAAAATTAAATTTAAAAATGTTTTTTAAAAGAGATGTATCTAATGTTAAGTGATTTGGAAAAAATTGAAAATAAAAGGGCAGGCAAGGGACACCAAGCAAATACAAGTAAGAAAGCTGCATTCAGGATTGCAGTATCAGACAAGATTTAATCCATGATGATCAAGATTACATTCCATTATGAAGATCAGTAGTAATGAATCCCATTCAAATACTCCAGCATTCAAAAGCAAAACTGCAGAAAACATGAGAAAACAGTGAAACGCATTCAAGGGGAAACTCTCAGCGCTACCTAATGCAGATGGACACCCCCTACAAAAGTGAAAAGGAAATGAAGACAAGACCTAATTAAGAATATCTCACTGACATATGTATATTAGAGTCTTATTATAAAACAGAAAATGTACATTCTTTTCAGAAGCCCACAAAACATATACTAGGTAGCTAAAAAAATCTCAATAAATCATAACAAAATAGAAGTTAATAATAAAACTAGAAAATAGTAATCCCTACCTTCTGGAAAATTTTAAATCTCAAACCATTCTTAGGTCAAAAAGTAAATCAAACTAAAATTTCAAAGTATTCAGAAAACAATTAAAGTAGGACATATCAGAATTTATTAAATATAGCTAAAGTAGAACTTGATAGAAATTCCCAAGGCTTTTAATTATAATTAATAAACAAGAAAATAACAAATGAATCAAGCATTTAACTGAAGAAATGAGAGTAACTGATAAATTCAAGAGCTGCTTCTTTGGGCGGGGGGATAAGACACGCTCTGAACTCCAAAAATAAAGAAGAACACAATATAAAATGAAAAATGAAGACGGCCCTGGCTGCTGTGGTGCAGTGGACTGAGCCTTGGCCTGCGAACCACAAGGTCACCGGTCTGACCCCAGCCAGGGCATGTGCCTGGGTTGGCCGGGTCCCCAGTTGGGGGTGTGTGAGCAGCAACTCACTGATATACTCACACTGATGTTTCTCTCCCTCTCTTTCTCCCTCCCTTCTCCTGTCTCTAAAAGTAAATAAATAATTTAAAAAAAAATGAAAATGGAATACTAGCCACTGATATAGGGGAGATTAAAAAACAATTTTAATAAATTTGAGGGCCTGGAGGAAGGGAATTATTTTCTGGGAATATATAAATTATCAAAACTGAGTCCAGAAGATGTTATAATCTGATAAATTATCACAGAGGACACTGAAGATGTTTTTAAAGAGTTGATCACAAAAACCACTGGGCGAAATAGTTTTGAAGAGTGTTCTACCAAACCTTTAAGAAAGAAAAAAAATTCCAATGTATTATAAACTGCTCCAGAGGATAATTCTGGGAAGACAGTTCTATGACATCATAGATTTTTAATCTCCTGAATTCCCCAGAACAATTAGATAGCAAAACCATAAACCCATGGAAAGCGTTAACAAGTGACATGGTATCACCCCGATCCCAACATGCCAGAGGATGGGAAGAAACTACGAAAAGCTGTAAAGCCTAAATAGTATTAGCAATGTCACTGCCTGCGCGGGCTGAGTCCTAAGGAAGCAGTGGACGACGCAGGTCTGAACCAGCCAGCAGGCCGGCCCGGAGGGCCCCGAAGCAATGAGCGTTTCCGCCCAGCCGCCCGGCCGCCCCGCGAGTACAGCGTGGGTGCAGGGAGCCCACAGGGAGCGCGCTGTGGAGGGGCTGCCGCAGGCTGGCCTCTGTGAACCCGGGAAACCGACCGCCAGGACTCCCCTGCAGGACAGGGGCCAAGACTGGTAAGAACCCCACCTGGGCCGGGGAGGGACAACAGACAGGAAAGGGAGGCACGGTCTGGACAGAATGGGGGCGGGCGGGGTGCAGCACCAGACGTCTGAGAAAGCAAGCTGCCGTGAGCACCAGTGTGGCACCGCTGGCCCTGCCACCAGGTCCTCTTCTCGCCCTCACCTGACTGCGGCCCAGTGACATTCAGCTGCATCAAACCCCCCAGACCTTGTTTCCGCACCCCACCTCGCTCCCATGGAAGGCACTCGCCCCGGATGGTGTGTTTCTGTCTCCTCTCCACCTGCCTGGCTGCGCCCGTTTCCTAGACGCTCCCCCACGCGGCCTCGCTGCGGCGGGCAGGACGTGGTCTCCCCAGGGCAAGCTCGCTCTCCCTGCCCTCCCCGGGGCCTCTCTCGTGGATGCCCGGGAATGACCACTTCACGCACAAATACAGGACACTTTCCACATTAACTGAAAACAGGGGATTCTGTGAAGTTTCAAAGTTAGAAAAGTTATGAATGAAACTGTCTTTTGAAAGTTCAAAAATACCTGATTTCATATACAAATTAGTAACAGAAAAGCATCAAGGTCAAAAACCCCAGTAAGTTATTGTAAGACGAAAACAAGGAAATTCCTACAAATAATAAAAGTATGCCCAAAAGACATGAAAATTAATGAAAACCTTAATCCATTTTTATTTCAAAATAAACTAGAAGACATTACAGAAAATGATACAAGATATGAAGGAGTAACATAATGAGGAAAAAACTCAGAAATAAGGTGACAGAACTCAGAAAAGAATTAGAAATAAAAGAAAAAATTAACTCTTGAAATGAAGGCAAAACTAAAACAAACACAGGAGCAAGAGCTAATAAATGTAACAGATAACACTTTTAAGAGAAACCCAAGTGAAAGGCAAAAGAATTTCAGCATTAAAGACAGGCAAAGGAGAAGAATAGTTGAGTCCCTGAAGAAGAAAGCCAATGCAAGGGAACAAGTCAAGCCCTAAAAAGATTTAAAACTACGCACTGAAAGAGCACAGTGAACACATGAGAGTATCGACCTTAAATGACCGATACCAAGACACAGTCCAGTAAAGTTTACTGGGATTTAAAGGTAAAAAAAACAAAACAAAACAAAACAAAAAAAAAACCTTAAGCAAAAACAGCAAATGGCTTATAAGGAAAAAAATTAAGCAATTACTACCTTTTCAATAGCAACTCTTAGTGCTAGAGAAAATGAAGAAACACATTTAAAATACTCGAGGAAAGAAAATATGAGTCAAGGATTTTGTATCTGATGAAACAGACTTTCAGATATAAAAGGAATAGACAAGCTTTTCAACATAGAAATCCTTTAAATTAAAAGGAGGCAAAAAGAAATTTTTCTTTTCTTAGAATATTAAATTCCTCCCTCTACCTAACAAAGCAAGACAGAAAATTATTTTTTAAAAGATTTTATTTATTTTGAGAGAGAGAAGAAGGGAGGGGGAAAGAGAAAAGGACACATCAGTGTGTGAGAGAAACCGATCAGCTGCCCCTCACACGCCCCAAGTGGGGACCTGGCCCGCAACCCGGGCATGTGCCCTGACCCAGAATCCAACCAGCGACGTTTTGGTTTGCAGTCTGGTGCTCAACCCACTGAATCACACCAGCTAAGGCAGAAAATTATTTTAAAGAAGAAGAAACAAAAGACAGAAATGCACGGAAAGAATACAAAACAAATGCTGTTAAACAACAGGTAGCACAGCCGAAGCAATTTCTGGACGCCTCACAGGGTCTTCACCAATTGCACTCTGCAGCGGTGCCCTAGGGGTGCGCCTGGTCTGTGAGCAATCTGCTCCCAGGGCAGCTAGGCTCCTGGCCTCCAGTGTCCTAGCTGCCTCTGCTCTAGGGTCGCACTGTGCCTGACTTCAGGATGCCTGCTCCGCCCCACACTGCATAGTCTGCTCAGGAAGGGAAAGCCAGGCAGTCGAGTTTGTTGGGATCCTGTGAAGTGTAAAATGAGTAGGTAAGCACCTCAACTAGAGTGTAAGCTGCAGGCTCCACAGCTCAGAGATCTTTATTTTCCTTCTCCCCGGAGAAAGTTAAAGTTGCCAGAAGTTTATCTTCCCTAAGAGTTAAATAGTTCAGCGATGAGGTCTAAACGCAACATGTGGTAACCAGCAGTGCATGTTTATGAATGCTCAATCTCAAAAGACAAAACTACTTATAATGGAGAGTAACCACAATGAGAGCACTTGAGTTTTTCCTTATCCTTTTGAAGTCACGTATTTTATACAACATGTTATTATTTCGTCCTTAATTATCCAATATTCTTCTTACCAAGAGTATCTTTAATGAGGATTTCAAGCTTCTGCCCCATGTTGGGTCCTCTGTCCTCTCTTGGGCTCTGTACTCGGTTTACAATCTCTTGCTTGATGGAGTTGATTACAAACAATAAATTATCTGCAAGACAGAAGAAAGCACTTGGAATGTGTTGCAAACATGGAAGAATTTGCATTTAATTATATAGTAACAAACATTCGATTTAAAATGGAGCATGTGTGAGAAAACATTAAGCTGTGGTAGTTTTAAGCTTTCCTACCCAAACAGACTAATTTCACACGATGAGCCTTTCGAGAGCACGCTGCAGACCTGCACCAGTGTCCGCGGCCCTGCCAGCAACTTGCCTCACTTGTCCTCGTAGCTTTAGGACTAGGACAGTGCCTGGTATGTCGATTCACAAGATCTTAGCAAGAGTTTATTAAATAAACCGAACAAAGTCCTTCAAATAGAAAAGCTTTGAGAAAAATTTCCCCACCTTAAGAAGCTTAAAAAGAGTGAGCAGAATTAACCAAAAGTAAATAGGAGGAGGGAAATAAACTGAACACAAACACATACTAGAGAAAGTTAACAAACCAAAAGCTGGTTCTTTGAAAACATCATCAAAATTGATACCCCGTCCTACCTCCATCCACAGCTAGACTGATTGATCATTTATATCTAGAATGAAAAAGGGGTTATCACTTCACAATCTAGAGCCATTAAAAGGATCATAAGAAAATGCTATGCCAAAAAATTCAACAACTTGGATGAAATGGACAATTTTCTTGAAAATGCAACTTAAAACTGACACAAGAAGAAATAGAAAACCTGAACAGCCTATTCCCAAATAAGGAGCTGAATTTACCCAAAAATATTCCTTTAAGAAAACCTAGATGGTTTTAATGGCAAATTCTACCAAACAGACAATGGAGAAATAAAAACAAATCTTACAATTTTTTAAATGATAAAGATTATAGCTAAATTCATTCCATAAGACCAATATAGCCCAAATTACAAAACCTGACAAAGACACTACAAAAAAAGAAAATCATACACTAATATCCCTCTTGAGTATAGACACAAAAATCTTTAACTGAGCATTTGCAAAAGATTCTAATAAAGAAAGGAAAATACATCATAACCAAGTAGAGTTTATTAGGAATACAAAGTTGATTTAATATTCAAAAATCAGTTAATGTAATTCACCATATTTATAGGTGTTACTGTGAAATAATAACAGATAAAAAGAATAACAAAACAATTATCCCCATAAATGCAAAAAACAAAAAAAAAGCCTATATGACAACACTCAATACCCATTCATGATAAAAGAAACTAGGAAAAGAAGAGAACTTACTCAAAATGACAGAGGGCATCATCCCATGCACAGAAACAGCCAACATCGTGAAAGGGAAAGATGCCCCCTCCCCAAGATAGCAAACAAGGCAATCATCACTCATGTTTGATGTCCAGGACATTGCAATAAGGCAATAAAATAAATAAATAAAAGGCATAAAAATCAGAAAGGAACAAATAAAACCTCTTCTATTTGAAGGTGATAATTGCTTAAATAGAAAATCCCACGGCATCTCCATGCCTACTACTAGAACTGATAAATTTAGCAAGATAACAAGATATAGAGCAATACTAAAAAATCCATTTTGTATGCATTTATAAGCAGGAAAGAGTTTGAAAGTAAAATTTCAAAAGCAATTCCATATACAGCAGTACCAAAAAACATAAAATATCCAGGAATAAACCTCACAAAAGATGTTCAAGCACTCTAATACTGAAAACTGTAAAACAAGGTGAAGAGAAATTAAAGACAATGTAACTAGATGGAAAGAGATACCAAGTGCAGGGACTAGAAGGTTCCCTTTTGTTAACATGGTAATTCTTACCAAACTGATCTACAGATTCAAAGCAATACCAAATTTCAGTAAGTTTTTTTAAAGGGGATAAACTAATTCTAAAATTTATGTGGTCATGCAAAGGACCTAGAATAGTCAAAACTACTTTGAAAGGAAAGAACAAAATTGGAAGACGAGCAAGGACTAAAACTCCGACTTTAGGATTTACTATAAAATACAGTAATCAGGGCACAGTTTATATAAAGATACACAAATCGATCAATGGAACAGAACACAGAGTCCACAGCAGAACCACATACACATGGTCAACTGGTTTAACAGAGGTGCATATACACAAACGCAAAACACACATCATCGCAGATAAGTGACTTAACTGACAGCACACAGAGATGCCAACACGTGTCTGAAGAAACACAGACCCAGAGGCTCCCAGTGGCCCACCATGTCGCCCTGCAGTGTGAGCCAGCTGGGATCTGAAAGTAATACAAATGCCAGCACCTTTGCAATCACTGTGTTTATATGTACTTCTCAGAGCTCAAGATCAAAATGCTTCAGCAGCAAGAAAGGATGATAGGAAAATGGGGTAGATTTCCATTCCAAGAAGCCAACTATTGTTTTACCTAATATATTTTACCTTGATTAGAGTTCCAGAGTGGCCATTAATAAATAACACAACAGTTCATTTAACAAACTGTAAACTTCGCAATTGGAAAGCCTCTTTCTGCTCTCACAAATGGAAACAAGATAATCCAGATCAAGGATTAAGAAAAACTCCAGGAAGTTTGTGAGCACCTGTGTGCCAGACGTCATGCTGGCCTTCAGAAAACCTTCAGAAGCCAGCCATAATCGATCATTTTGCCACCATTTCACTTTCTGATTCAACTTAGCCCAATAGGTACACGGTGATGTGTCCAATTTTAGGGGTAAAGGAACGTGCAAACGCTTAGGATGCCAAGCTTTAAGCGGGGGGGGGGGGGGGAGGAGGGACACACCTCAAACCAGAGCTTTCCCACCCTCTGGTGTGCTGGGAAGAGTTACGGGTGCACGAGAAGGGTCCCCTCCGCCCACGGGGGCCTTCCCTCACGAGCAGCCTACTTGGTTATAGTCCAGAGTACCTCAGAGACGGTACTTCTCTACATGTGCCATCACGTGACAGCTCGGGATCTGAACCAACAATTCCCACATACATGCTAGGATGGTTGCATGCAAGTAACCAGGGCAGTGTAACAAATATAAATTACTGGGTTCTACTTGCACAGATTCAGAGGAGCTGGAGGGGGGCCTACAAATCTGTATTTCAACATGTGCACAGATGATTCCAAAGAGCAAACCAGTTGTAAACCAGAGATCTAAACTACCCCCTCGAAGGCTAAATGAACAGTGGTCCATAAATGTGGCTACCCCAGTCACACCACTGTAAAATGAAAGTAAGCACTTACTATGCTCACAAGTAGATGAGCTCCTCAGGGCAGAATGAGATCTGGCCGGGGAGCCACAGATAGAGACACTCACACTAGAAGGACACGAATGAGTAAGAGCAAGTCACTTACTGGGTGGATTAACGAAAATAAGGCTGGCCTAAACGTGGGCAGGATACAGGGAGAGAAAATAACAACACCAAAGAAAAAGAGTGGTTAGCAAATAACAGGAGGTTAATCAAATTATTAAAAGTTTAAGCTTACCATATTCTGTGTTGAGGCCCCACAATTTCACTTTATTAGCTTCATACTGGGCTTTTTTCTTTAACCGACAAGCCCTGTGAAAGGAAGGAGCAATTAATTTACTTTCTAAAAATGAACATTCAATATATACTTCTCTTTGTTGCTGTCCAACATTTTCTAATAGCAACCAGAAACCACTGCCTAACAATATTTTTGTATTAAGTAACCCATCTAACAAAAAAGCCACAATATAATAATTTATCCAAAATGATTTTTTAAAAATTGCAAGCACATTAAAAAATGAAGCTATGCCCAGCGCCCCAGAATAAGCAAACAAAACTGGCGAGAGAGAGCTGGGGAGTGAGGGCGGCCCTCGCGCACGGCCAGTGGGGGTGGAAAGCAGCGCATGCGGCTACTTTGGAAAAGAGCAATTTCTTAAAAGTTTTGCTTTATTACTTTGGAAATAGTCATTTTGGCAGTTTCTTAAAAAATCAAATCCTACACTGCTGGGTATATACCCAGAGAAACAAAAAACTATGTTCACACAAACATCTCTTAAGTAAATGTTTATGGTGGCTTTACTCGTAATTGCCAAGAACTGGAAACAGCCCAAACGTCCTTCACCTGGTGAACGGGTAAACTGCAGTGTGTCCCCACAAAGGAACACCACTCAACAAAGAGAGGAACAAACGCTCACTACCCCTCACAACAACATGGATGAATCTCAAACACGGAGTTAAATCAAAGGACTCCGAGCAGAAAGGCTGTAAGCAGTGGGACCCCACCTGTACGCTACTCCAGAGAACGCGCCTGCAGGGGCGGGAAAGGTCAGTAGTGGTGAGGGGTCAGGGGCGGGAGAAGAGGTTTACTTCTATAATGGGGCACCATGAAACTTTTTAAAGTGATGAAAATGTTCAATATCTTGATTGTAGGGGTGGTTATATGACTGAGTATGTCAAAACTCACAGAAGTGTACATTAAAAGGGACAAATTTTAATTACTATAAAACCAACAAAAACCAAAACTCTGATAAAAATTTTTGGTGTTATACTAGACTTGAGTGTGTTCACATCCCCCACCAACCTTTTTTTAATCCTCACCCATGGATAGGTTTTTTATTGATTTTAGGAAGGGACAGAGGGAGAGAGAAACATCAATCAGTTGCCTCCCATATACACCCTAACTGGGAATCAAACCTACAACCTAGTCATGGGCCCTGGCTGGGAATCGAACCCTCAACCTTTTGGTATATGGGACAATGCTCCAACCAACTCAGCCACCAAGCTAGGGCTCAGCTCTACCCTTTAAAAAGTTTTCATCAAGCATAAAATCTGTCTTTTGCCTGGCTGATGTGGCTCAATTGGTTGTTGGTTGGAGTGTTGTCTCATGACTGAAAGGTTGTTGGTTTGAGCCCCAGTCAGGGCACATACCTAGGTTGCGGGTCCAGTCCCCGGTGGTCCAGGCACAAACAACCCCATCTGGGCACGTACAGGAGGCAACCAATCAATGTTTCTCTCTCACACTGATGTTTCTCTCTCTCCCTTCTTCTCTCTCTAGAAGCAATGAAAAAAAATGTCCTCAGATAAGGATAAAAATAGCATAAATACTAACTTTTACTTTCAAAGGAAAGTTTATAATACTCTCATTGCAGTATTTATGAGTATTATTTCTGAATAAATGGTTGAGGGTTGGGTGAGTTTCTATAAAACTCACAGCAAGTCTAACCTCACCTCCTAACTTCATTCACACAAGCAGCCATGATTAGTATTTACCTGGAAGCCAGCTTATTTTTTTCCTTCCTTGACCTTGGCCGAGCAGTTAAGGGAAGCTCGCTGACCGGAGTCAGGTCACTGATCACCTTATTCAGTTTCCGTAGTTCATTGCCTATCTGCAGTAGTTTTTTAGGATTTGGAGTCAAGTCTTCTACATCAGTTCTCCGTGACTTCTTTACTGCATATTTCCCTACAGGTGGTTTAAAAGAAGTGTAAGATACATCATTTTCTTTACCAAAAGATACATTTTCTACAGCCGTATTTTAAGATCGCATTTCCCCACCCAACTCCCTTTCCTCATTCAGAAGTCTTGGCATGTTTCAGAAGTCTCACAATCACAGCCCATGCGAGAAGCACTGGCCTTCTCTCCTCCCCGTGTAGTGACTCAAGGAGTTGGGGAATGTGACAGCTCCAGCCTTTTCCAAGCCTTCTCAGCTTATGGTTTCTAGCCCTGATAGAAAGAGTCTTATTATTTTTGCATGGCAGTAATAAGCATCTCAGACTTTAGGACCAAAGTGCAAGTTCACGTGCACACAAAAATCAGGTCCTGGCCAACAGGGCTCAGTGGGTTGGACATCGTCCTGCAAGCTGCGAGGTTGCCAGTTTGATCCCTGGTCAGGGCACATGCAAGGTTTGCAGGCCAGGTCCCTTGTTGGGGGCGTGTGAGAGGCAACTGATCAATGTCTCTCTCTTACATTGATGTTTCTTTCCCTCTCCTTCTCCCTCCCTTCCCCCTCTCTAAACATAAATAAATAAAATCTTAAAAAAAAAAAAAAAGAAAGAAAGAAAAAGAAAAAATCAGGGCTAGGGTAAAAATACAGTCAGAAAAAGATTGTGGAGATTTTACCCAAACCAAGTTTGATTCTCTAAATTGGAATTGTCATACATGCTGGACTCAAAAGTCCACCAAGTTCAGGCCGCCTTTTCTGAAAGTTTTTCTTTGGTTCATTTGGTACATGACATCACAGAAGACTCTAGGGGTCTTGCCTTATCACTGCAGGCAAGAGGCACAGCTCTGTCCTCAAATTACAATGCACCACACAACTTTCTTAGTACTTTCCACATGCTCTGTGAACCTAGCTATCAGTCCTGCCTTTTCACTTCGGGTAAAAAAAACAATCTTAAGGCAAAAACTAGGTTTTTACTCATTGAGGGACAGTAAAGCACAGACCTGGGTACCAGAGGAAAGGGAAAATGAGGCACAAACATACTTCTGGTACAATTCCAGCATCAGAAACACTTAGCAACTTAAATCTGTGGATCATTGAGCACCAAACTTACTAGTGCCCTCCACTTTGGATTAATGGAAAAATAACATTTGTGCAGAAGAAATTCTATTTAATGACATTGGCCGGGGTTCACAATTCAAAAACTGACCTACCTAAGAGGATAAGCTTCTCCTGACCCCTATTTTCTCCTTTTCTCTTTCCACTCCCTTTCTTACAGCTATCCCGGTCTCTTCCGCGCTCTCCTCCTTCCTCCCACCACTGTCTGGAGCCCGACCCCCCCCCCTTCTGGAGCCCGACACCCACCCCCCCCCCACCCCCCCCCCACCCCCCCCCCACTCCCCCGGCTATCTCGGGCCTGAAGACCAGGTGAGAATGGCAGCGAGCACCAGGGCCCACTCTCCTCCTCGGCAGCCCTTCTGGGTTCACGGCAACTGGGGCAGGCCGTGATGGGCGGTCTCCCGAGCACTTCCTGGAAGTGACTAGACAAGAAATCGTTTTTAGGGGGGCCTCCCCGCCTGCGCAGGTAACGGCTCCCAGCCCTGGTAAAGCTGGCTGCGAGCGACAGCAGCCACAGCAAACACGGCAGCTCCGCTGCGCCCCTCTCCAGTCCGCCAGGAGGGGCGGAACACCCACGTGCGACGATTAAACATTACCGCTCAGTATCTCTAGTTAAAGGGCAATGAATAGTTGACCACAACGCCCTCTCACCATGATGCAAGCCGTTTTTCTGGTACATGTTACTCGGCAAGGTGTCCCGGTTCCACTCAGAGGGCCTGAGCATCCTGTCTTGCTGCGACGGCGTGAGCTGTTCACTGTACTCCCAGAAGTACCTTCTTTTGCCTCTCTTCCGAGAGGATATTGAAGTCATCTCCTTCAAGTCTTCCACAGAATCATTTTCATAACCTTCAAAAAAAAAAAAAAAAAAAAAGCCCCGCCACCCCAATTTTGAAGTTCCATAAATTTCAATACACCAATTGTGACAAACAAAAAGATCCTTCTATCTGTTGTTTGATACATTTCCTTTCACCTGAAAATATCCTTGTTTATCACTGGCATGTCAAAGATAATAAACCAGGTCCATAAAGTAAGTTTTAATGTAGAAATCTGACTCATAAAATATTCAGCGATCAAAATCAAAGACAACCACACTATCTTCCTATGGTTTCTCTTTGGTTTGTATAAGGCAGTATATGACACTTCGTATCCTCACACAGGACTCAGAGAGTAAGGAAGGAGAGCAACAGGAATGTCACGAGCCTATTAGATAATGGTGCTTGGCCACTACGCTGTGATCTTACATGTCTTCTTTTTGATGTGGATGCCTCTGAAACCCCCCCCACGGACAGCTGCCTTGCGCCTTCCGGGGTAGCGGGGGCGGGGGTGCTGGGGGATGCCCTGCGGCAGAACTGTGGGGCAGCTTCCGTCTGGCCAGTCCTCGGACAGGACGACTCACAGCCCTCGGGTCCCTTCCGAGAGCGCCACCCCGTACGCACTCACGCAGCTAGGGCCAGATGCACGGGGTAGTGGGGTTGCCCACGCACAGGACGCACACAACCTGAGGTGGCCAGGGAAAACTGGGCGGCACTGGCCAAGTACAACGACCACTTTTCCTCCCAAAACACTGAACTCCTCTGAAACTGACACAAAGTGATGACATCTGAGCATTTAGGGAAAAGTTAGAATTTTACCAGATTTTCTTCAGATTAAGAGCTAACTAGGAATATGATTCCATTTATATGACGTTCTAGGAAAGGCAAAATTACAGAGGCAAAGTGGTTGCCAGGAGTTGAGGGTGGAGAGAGGGGCTGACTAGAAAGGAACCTGAGGGAAACTTGGGGACGGCGATCAACTTCTCCGCGTCTTGACTGCAGTGGTTACACGACCGCACGCACTTGTCAAAACTCCCAGCCCCGTGCACTCGAAGAGAGTGAGTTTTACTGTGTGACGATCAGACCCCAGTAAATGTAACCTTTGAAAGGAGAACCAGTTCGGAGAGCAGAATGATTTCGAAGCAATAGTCAGGCCAAGCTTTTACAGCATTAGCGTGCATCTGTGGTTCATTTAGACAATGTGGCCAGCACAGTGACCATGAACCTCAGGTTCTTAAGAAATGACGCACAAGCTCAGTGACTGGACAGAGCCCGGACTGATGCAGACCCCATGACTCCCGGAGTCTGGGTCCCCCTGGGCTTCCCATGCTTCCTGCGCCGCCCCAGTGAAATGGTCTAAATGGGGTTTTCCCCACAGACATTCCACATTCAATTCAAAGGGCCATGAAGATTTTTGTTTCTTCTGTCCCACCTAAACCAGGTACCCCCTAAATTATCTGGCCTGAACATATTGGTTAAATATGGTCAGTCTTTTAAAATAAGTATTTAAAGGGCCATCAGTTTCTCTGTCCAAGTATTTTTAACATTGTCTAAGAGTGCACACGGTAAACCCACCACAGCGCATGCACACAACGGACCCGTGAGCTGAAGTTGCCCACCTTTCAGCACGGAGTGCACCATGACCCAGCAAATGCAGACGAGTTACATTCTCAGACCACTGGGCTGGCATTCAAGGTCACTAAATATTTCTCCAAGTATGTTCTGAGAAACACTATCACTGTCAGATATGCCTTCATCCCCAAGTGGGTTCTGTGGTCCAAAAAGTCTTAAGAAACTCGTCCTGCACCTCTCTCCAGCCAAGTCACAGGGCACACAGGCAGATCAGGAGATAGAGACGGCGACCGTGAGTGAGCCCACGCAACTCCAGGCCCCGCGGGCACGAGGACCACGTCCGCTCCGCTCATCTCCGTACAGCGCCTGATACGAAAGGAAGCACTCAAAACATTTTTTTAACCAACCAATGGTTTGTTTAATGCAACATTTCCAACCAAGCCTTTTCCCATCTGATGGTTCACCATACTGATCCAACTCATTCCTTCCTGACATGATAATCAAAAGAAAATCACAAAAGCTTATTATTGCCTAAAACTTCAATCCCACATCTTTGGTAAGGGCTACTGCCATCGAGCTGGTAAAGTCAATTGTAAAAATGCTCAGTGAGGATTACAAAATAAAGTCTCATTCTGGGGGCCCAGTTCTCAGTCTTACAACCAAGTAACTCCATGATCCCAAACTGTTGTAGCCTGTCCACAGAACAGGCTCTATTAGAACTTGGGAGCCAGTCCAGAACAGGGACTGAAACTCCATTTTACACCTTTCCTGGAGCTCTGTAGGCTCGGGCACTGTTGCAGCGAACTGCCAAGAACCAGCATCAAGGGAGCCAGTCGTCACAAAAGGGCCTTTGTACACCATCCGCTGCAAGTTACACCCGTCGACCCACTCTAAAACTCGTGCTCTAAAGGAACTACAACTGTCCCCACTTTTCATCTTCAAACAGTTTCTTCCTGCTTCTCAGCAATAATTCACTCATGCATTCCTAAAGTTTCTTGTTTAGCTCTTTCCTTCAAGAAAAAGGAACATTTTCATTAGTGAATGTGAATGAAGCCCAAATTACAACCACAAAATTGTGCTGCTTTTGTGGTTGAAGAATGTCATTCATTAAAGCTTGTGAAAATTGTACCAGTGATACCAACCAAGGAGATTTTACTTAAAGTCAACTGGAAATGAGTGAATTAAATGCCACCCAAACTTGTGACATTGTCCAACAGCCCCAGGAGGAGGGCTGCCCCCCCCAGAGTGCCCACTAGCCCATCTCTGCTTTAAAGTGGTGCTGCTCACTCAACACCATCTGGGGGATGTGGCCTGTTAAAAGGGCAGGACCAACCCCGACACTGGCTCCTCCTCCATATCAGGGTCAAAGGCTGAGAACATGGAAACAAGGGTCAACCTGCCAAGTGGTATCTCTTCATGGACCCACTCACCTCTCAAAAGGAAACCAAGTCAAAAGATCAAAAATAAATTTAAAGTGGAGTGAAAAGTCAATGAAGAGCAAAATGTAAACCAGTGCAGTCTAGTCCTGGCTGGCGGTGGGGAGATTTGCTTCCTGGTTTATCTATCCCTTTAAGCACCAGCTGGCAGAGGCACTTACTTCCCCACACTTTCCATTTCCCTTAGTTACTACCTGGTTCCCTCTGACCTCACCCTTCCCCCAGCCTCCTAACCTAATTCTAAATGTGGACTCAAAGCAACAGGGCTGGCCTCCCAGACCGTAAGGCCCACTCTGGTCTCCCTACGGGCTACAAAGAGGACTTTCCTTGAAACGCCTACAAGCAGACAGTATTAGTTTGTTGAAAAATTTTCCTGCTAAGTAGGAAAGACAACTGTACTATCTAGACTCTACGGAGTTCTAAAGTAAACCAAAGAAAAGCGTAAACTCCCTTTCCTCCACATTAAACTGAAAGTACCTTTTCCTTACTTGCAACCCCGCCCAAGTCAAACAACTTGGTTGTATCAAACACATCCCTCTAAGCATTTGTGTAATAGGAGGACTGCAATAAAAGGAGTCTTTCAGCAGGAACAGTGCTCCAGTGCCCACAGTACAGCTACTATGCCTTAAAAACCTTTCCAAAAATTAAATACCAATGTTTATACTGCCGGAAATTCCAGCAATCATCATAACAAACAGGGATGGGTGTTTTTTGGCAATTTGTTAGGTTTTTTAATAACTTAAGTTTTTTTTATGTAGGCCTTATAGTATCAACATTATTTCTGAAGAAAACTTCTGCTTAAACTTGAAGATCTCCATTTCTTTGCGTATTAACTGTGTTCCACTTGGCAATATCATTTTCATAAGGAAACTGCGCAAGCCAACAGTGGCGACAGCCCAAGCATGTAAATGCTGAAGTGGACCAGCCCCTGCAGGTTTCACTTTCTTTCTCACTTTTGTTTGTAAGCACTGCACAGAAATAAAATAGAATCTCTTTCACGCTCATGAAATTACAGCATATATTTTTCTTAAGTGGAAAAATACTGAGCACATGAAAGATGCAGCAGACACAAAGAAAAAGCTCTTTTTTACATTATTCATTAAGTAGGCTTTGTTGGTTATATGTATGAATAATATAAACCATCATCTCTTGGTTCACCATTCTATAAACTCATAACTTAATGGAGGGACTCGTGCATAAATAGGAATGTTTTTTCAAGCCAATCAATTCTTGGCATCTTTGCACAGCTGCTCAAGAGTGATAAATCAGGTCACTTAGCATAAAATAAATTAAGAAGTAGCCCTCGAGGAATCAGCACATGAAACACTATATGAGCAAAAGTAATTATTTTAGAGCTGTCTGAATAGAAAAAAAAGCAATTACATATTGAAGCCAAGACATTAAGCCATTTAATCCTCAAACTAAGACAAAGAAAGCATCCATAGCAAAACGTTCTATTTCCAGACAGGAGGAGAAAGGCCAGTCTGGTAAGCCTGCATTACAGTACCCAAGCTTTACAATACCTGGTTCGGAGAAAGTGTCACTAATATCGTCATCTTTGTCATCTTCATAATCCTCTTCCTCTTCCTCCTCCTCCTCGTTTTCAGAAAGTTCGTGCTCGCTGCCAAATCCTTCGTCATGGTCCTCGTCGTCGACATCCTCCTCGTCCTCCTCCTCTTCCTCGGGACTGTGTTTGGTTGGCTGCTCACCCAAGTTGTCGGAGACAAAGAGGGAATAATTGTGCTCTTCTTTTTTCTGGGATGAATCTGAGACAGATGTGCTGGCAGAAAGGCTGCTACTTTCTCCTGCTGCAGCTGCCCCCGGGCCCTCCTGGGGCAGGGGGCTGAGCAATAGTTCCTGGGTTTCTTTGAAAGGCAAAGCTGGAGTGGCATGACCCTGAAGAGGCTCCATCCCTTTCTTCTCCGGCCTCTTTGCTACCGCCCCACAGTAGCAGGTGTTCTCCTTTGCGGCGTCGGCGTGCACCTGGCTCAGCGAGGGCCGGCTCTGCTGCACTGGGTTGATCTTTACTTTTGCCTTTTTTACGTAGTCTTTACACTCCACATGGAAGTTCACCTTCTCAGTGTGATGCATGTTGGTCTTCACCATGATCTGTGTGCTTGAAGTGGGTTTACTTGCTTTCTGGACGCAGTCTGACAAAGGGACCTCAGCCTGAAGAGTCTTAGAAGAACACAGAGGGGCGGCTGCTCTGCTTGCGATCTTCTTACCAGGGAATGAAGAAGGCAAAGGATTTTGTTTGACACTGAAAAGCGAATCCGGGTAATACAGGGAGTCAGAAACAGACTGAGAGTCTTCGCTATTGAGCTGGGCCAAAGTTGGAGTTTTACTTATGACCTCTTCGTCCTGGTAAGGGCTAGAAAAGTCATCGAGACCCAGGTAGTCCACCTCTTTTGTCCCCCAGATGTCGCAGCTGGTCAGCTTGGTGTACTTGGTCAGGTCCTCACAGTACGTGTCCCACTGCTCCCAGTTCGAGGTGAAAGCGCCCTCGTTCTCCAGGACGTCTGTGAAGGACTCCAGGTTCTCGATGTCCTTGCAGTCCTCCAGAGAGGGGGAGTTGTCTCTGGGGTTCTGCTGGTAGTTCATCTCTCTGTCCTGAGAAAGGTTCAAGACAGGATTACATGCTCTGCTTCAGGAAATACTCACCTCCATCCACTTCCACATATCAAATTGATAAAAACCAGTGCTTGACTTCTGGTCTGTTTTATTTTAAGATAAAGGCTACTTACATGAAACTTTACCATTCCATATAACATCATTTTCTTGGGCAAGAAAAAAAAGGAGGGAAAATATGTCCTTTGAGAGGTTTAAGTATGGTCCAGATATCAAGGCCTCTTGAACTTTACTACAAACACTCTTCCTGAAAAAAAAAGTTTACATTTCCTGATCTTTGACCTAGAAGGATTTTGGGACCTCCTTAGAAGTAAGCTTCAATTACAAAGCAACAGCGAAGACCTTACCTTCACCACAGAACAAAGTGTCTTCTTAAATGAGAACTCGAAGTTACAGGCAAAGAGCAATTCAAAGAGAGTTGGAACTCAGCCACAGAACAATCAGATCTTTAGTAAGACCTTGTAACAACACTTGGGCTTGGGAATAAAGTACTCCTCACAAGCAGAGATGTAATTTTAAAAATGGGAGTAAGACTATGCAGCCGTTACAAAGAATGCAGTTAAATTCCAATGAACTAACATGAAAGGCTGCTCCCCATATATTTTTGTTAAAAAGGTGACAGAATACTGCACTTATAAATATGTCAACCAATTAAAATATCCATATAATTCTGTAGGCATAGAAAAACTATGTCAGTAGTAGTTCCCCTTGGGGAGGTTTGGAGAGGAGAGGCTCAGGAAGGAAACGAGAAAGTTTCAGTTTCCCAGTATTTTATTGTTTTGACTTTTGTATTTGTTTGAAATTTTTTCTTTTGTGTGTGCGTGTGTGTGTGTCTTAACATCTTTATTGAAGTATATAATTTATATACCATAAAATTCACCAATATTAAGTGTACAAATCAATGGTTTTTAGTGAATTAGCCAATTTGTATTCTTAGTTTTCCAGTTTTTATATACTTCTGTGATGCTTATATATAGTTATAATTATTTTTTAAATGTTTCTCTTAGGAATCTTAAGTGTCAATTCACCTCAAGAATAAATGATAAGTATATAAGATATTGCTCTTTGTCTCACATTCTCTGTGTCATACACCTTGCTCAATGTTATTCCTAACTTTCCCAGTTGAGAACTTCTTTAGCATTCAGGCATATTAAAGAAGACAGCTTCCCACCCTCGTCATCAAAAATCAGACCAAAGACATTTAGAAAACCTTTCATCCTACAGTTTCCAGTGAGTTCATACATTCTTCTAAAGTTACTAGAGTGACAGTCACAAGTATCGAATTAGGCCTAATCGCATCCTTTATTCTTTCCGTCATTTATAAATAAAGAACTCTACCACAACACTCGTACCATAAATCAGAGAAGAACCCAAGAAAACGTTACTCACCAGTTCATACATGAAATCTGGGTCTGAGCTGTTTGCTAAGAGATCTGTGCTCATCAGAGTCTGTTCCGAAAAGGTGTGGCTTCGAAAGGCATCCCCGAAAGGCGGATCCATTCCGCTTACACTGGGCTATCACAGAGAGATCTTAGCTTTAGAACCTGAAAGACTACTTCAAGACCAATTTATGACACACACACCCTACCCCACACCCACTGACTATTTTCAGAAGACAATTCAGAATCTTTCCTACTGTTTAGTACATTTCAGAAACTTAACTAGCATTACACTGTGGGCTTATATTAGGGAAATAAGATGCATAAAAAAAGAAGAAATAGAGTGGCAAGTGTTCAAAATACCTAACCTCTAAAAACGAAAGTTTATTTAGACACCAGAATCAGCATACAGCACTTAAGGAGTACTTTTACTGGGTTACTGATATTCTTCAAATCCATCTGTACTGATACTCCCTGCACTAACTCCCTGAAGAGGAGAACTCCCTGCCACTTCTGGGGTCTCAAAGGGAGCGAGTCAGTCTAACTCCATACTCCTGAGTCCACTGTCTAATTTCCCAGCGCAAGCTGGAAGGGAATTTGGGCGTCTCCGATCAACAAATGCCTCCAGGACCATGATGGAGATACAATCAGTCAAACATTCAAAAATCTCCTGGGTGGGACTACCTTGGACATGAGCTCAGTAGCTTAAATCCTGGTTCCTGAAAACGGTACAATTCATTCTATAATAAATAAGAAAGGGAAAAAAGACTTGGCACCCAGAGTTAATCCCCCTTTCCCATTGCAGCATCTCTACAAATCACTCCAGAGTGAAGGGGGGGCTCACGCTCCTTAAGTGGCCCAAACAAGAGAGAGGTCTCCCTTTGACATTGAACTTGCATGAAGGAAGAGGATGGGAAAAAATACAAATTTCCTCTCCACCTTTTTGTTCTCCTTCTGCAAGTTCCTGCTGAAACTCTAAAAAATTATTAGACTGTTTGCTTACATTTTTGTGTTCATATACCTTCCACCGACCACAGGCTCACACACACTCTCATCATGTTCCCTTCGTTGGTATTCCCCATCCCATGCTTTTCCTTCTCTGACTTTCCCCAAGCCTCCCAGACTGGCAAGCTCAAAGTAAGTGCTTTACAGCCCTAATTCAAGCATTCAATAAGCGGCAAGTTAACCCGTGGGTGGGAAAGAACTCTGAATGGGCACGCGCAGCCCACTTGGCAGGGGGTCGAGGTGAGGTGGGCCACTGGCCTTTCCAACAGCAGCGAGCAAATCCCCTTTCCTCACCTCCGCGGCCTGTCTCCGAGGCACTGCACAGCCCCGGCAAGTTTCCCTCGTGCTGTGCTCGGGGCGGAGTTCCGCCGGCCTCACTGAAGCCACCCAAGCAGCCCGCCCTCTCATTGTTTCTAGACTTCTCCCCAGAACTGAACACACAGAGGGGTCAGGGTAAAAAGCCAATGATGAGGAGGAAAGAAAGAAGTCTGGCTATGTAGAGTGGGGTCTAACGGGCTTTGTTCATGGTTTCAGTGATTACCTGAAACCAGAACCGATCAATTAAAGTAATATAAATGCATATAACCATTCTTAGACATGTTTTATGGGAGGTGTGTGTTTTTACACATATATGTATACGAAAGACATACTCCATTTCCTCTTAATTACCTTTAAATTCAACAGGCATGACTGGAAAGGAACAATTGGGAAACAGAAGACAGAGAAGACGAAAACAGGCTTTCTGTGGCAGATTCATTTTCATGGGAGTAGGTTTAGCCCCCATAAAGCCAGCAGATCTGTCCAAGTTCTAACTTTTTCACTTACCATGTTCCCTGTGCCAAGCTCATAAACTTCAAAGCTGTACAGCACAGCAGAAAACAGAAGCAATGGAAGGAAGGACATGTATTCGAAACTGGCTGAGAGCAGAAGGCAAATGTCTTAGAAAGAAGGGTCGTACGTCAGGCTGCGTCAAGGACTGGAGAACTCACAGAACCCACGGCGCTGACTTTCTGCCGCGGGAGAGCGCGAAACCTCGTGCCGCTCTGTACGACTTACCTGAGGCATTTCCAAGCCCAGGTCCCGTGAGTCCGCTCCCAAACTTCTTTTTTTTCTCGTTTGTAAATTCCTTTCCAGCTTTACTTTTAATTTCAGAATTAAAGATGGTTTTCACAATAAACGGCAGGGTTCCCTGGAATGCCTTCACTTAGATTGCTTGGGTCGCTGCTTTTCTTTTCTGTGCGAACCTGTCAGACGACAACACACAGTAACTTCACCGAGCACCATTAAAAACAAGCTGACCTTTTAAAATGACCTTAACAAAGAACCCTTTAAAGGAGTAAGTCTTGCGGTTGCAATATCAAGAATTTGGTTCTTTCTTAATACCAACTATTCTAAAATTCACCATTCTTTCCTTTATTTGCTTCTAAAACAGAAATCAGTCAATAAGAAGTGAACCACATTAAACCAAACAAAAGAGCCCTGAGCCCTCACCGGGTGGTTCGGTTGGCTGGAACGTTGTCCCCCACACCAAAAAGTTGCAGGGGGTGTGATCCCCAGTCGAGGTGCATAGGGGAGGCAACTGTTCAACGTTTCTCTCTCTCTCTCAAATGATATACATATCCTAAGGTGAGGATTAAAAAGAAAACCCTGAAAAATTAACAAAAGCTGATTTTTCGTGTGATCTGAAAGATGTATTATACTTAACATTAAAGTTCCTGCTCACTTTATGTTCTGTATGAGAAAATACGTTGCAACTTTTAATTCCACCTATTATATAATCATTAATGCTAAATTAATCTATATTTCAAATCACTCATAAAGATACAAGAGCAACGAATACATAACAGTGAACGATGTAATTTGACATATCCTCCACATTAAATAAAATCACGTTCATAATGGTATGTGCAGCATTATTCTTTCAGTTGGAAGTGAAAGCTGACCTTGAAGTAAAAATTATTCAAGTACGTTTTTAAATGTGTGTATGCTGAGTGGGGGAAACAGGGATGAGGACTACTTTGCAGAGTGGTTTTTAGGGTTAAATTAAACAATGATTGCAAATCGCTTGGCTCAAGGTCTTAACTGTGCAAGACTTAAACGTGAGTTCCCTTGTCCCTCCTTCCTGTGAAAGCCTTCATCGTCAGAACTGATCAGCGGTACGCATTTCGTCATCTTTCCTAGATCAGTGGGCCTCGAAGTGTGATCCCAGGACCAGCACCATCAGTGTCAACCTGAAAATTCGTCAGGAGTACAAAAGCTTGGATCCCCCGCCCAGAACTACTGAAGCAGGAATTCTGGAAGTGGGGCCCAGATACATGTCTCAAGGAGCCATCTAGGTGATTCTGACCCTCCCTAAAAGCTGAGAGCCACTGCCTACTCCTTGCTCTTTCAGTCCAGATGCAGTATCATTTCTTAGATTGATGTAAGAGCCAATTTAAGCGGAGCTGCCTCTATCATTAGCACACTCTCTGGGCTAGAAGGTTAGAGTGGTACATTATTTCAAAGGTCTGTTGCTGAATAAATAAAACATAGGCAACAAGGGAGTCAGTCATTTCTCTACTTAATTAGATTAATAAATCGACTACCATTTGTATTTCCTGGCTCATTGCGGGGCCCTTCCCTCTGGCTGGTTGTCATTCTGAGCTCTTTCTTCTAGCCTAGGAGACACCACCAAGTGCCCACCCAGCCTGGGCCTAGAAACAGAATTAGTTAATGCACCTCAATCCAGGGCTACAGTCTAAGTGGACTGAACCCTGCCTGCTCTTTCCAAAGACCAGTTCTGACCCAGCTTCTGCTTATGTGGCTTCATGGTTGGCCCCACTGCTGATATGTAGTCTCCCAAACTCTTCCCCTGATTCCTGTGAGAAACAGGTCAGGTGCATTTTCTGGACCTATTATGCAGACGCCAAAAAGACATGAGATTCTAAGGGATGCATTCAACAAAGGGTACCAGTGCAACCCTCCTCTACAATGTGGGTCTGGGAGAAAAGTCTGATATTCTGTAAAACCTGAAACTTACCCTTCCTAGCAAGGGTCGATGACTCAAGAAGAGATTGAGTTGTATTCCACATATTTTTATTAGCATCTACTCAAGACACCATCTCCCAACAGCGTGGTTTATCAGGAAACACTAGATCAACAATGGGGCTAAATGCTGGTTGCAGCTTTCACTTGCAAACTATGCAACACTGAGTAGGTCTATCTTTCTAAGCCTCACTTTTCTCATTTCTCTGGCGACTGAACTTTCTATGCCATAATACTGCCATACAAACACAAGTATCTAAAATTCATTTAAACACTTGGCCTTGAAGCAAACGTCAGTCAGCAAAAGCAATGCAGTGAAGCAATGCAGTTAGCAAAAAGACCACTTGTTTTAGAAAAACAAGACTTGGATTCCAGTTTTGATCCCATAATCAAAACTAAGCAGACTCAGGAATTAGAGCTTAAATTTTTCTGCCTTAGCTCCCAGACTGAGGAATTAACAATTATTCTCTCTTAACTATGTAATAGGGATGTTATGAGAATTAAATGAGATATTAAATTAGGATACAGTAATAAAATAAATCTGAAAGGGGATTCTTATCAATAGGTATAATGTTGCCAATGCTTTTTTTGTTGTCCCACAGCTAGCCCAGCTCAGAAACTCAACCTCTGGGACCACTGTTGTAAGCAAGGCTGACTGTTTTAAAGATACCTATTCTTGAGTGAGAGTGTCCACTACGGAAAGGATTGAGCTCCTTCACCTGGGATAGTTCAAGGTCCTTAGTTGCCTCTCCTAGTCTCTCAAGGAGCAGCAAGCAGGAGTGAGGGAAGGGCCACCTCTTCACCAAGCAGTAGGACTTCTTTTCAGTGATCAACTCTTGTAATCTCTAAAACTAATGACCCAAGTTCACAACAAACAATCCTCACCCCCATGTTTGGCATCCATTACCCAGAAATGCTTGGTCCCATTCCAGACATATATTGAGAAACAACCATGAAGAATAAAATCCCCCACCCAAAAGTGGAAGGAAAAAAAGCACTTTTACAGCAGTTACCATTACAGAGACTCTCCCATCGCGATACACCGCTCCAGAACTATCACCTACACCAGGGAGCCACACGCTAAGGGGACGTGAGTGCCTGGGTGGCCAAGTAATGCTGAAGAGGACGGTGTAAAAGCTTGCTTTCCAGGATGCCTGCACACTTTTCTAGGCTCAAGAAAATCCCTATTTTACTCAAGCTTTAATATTCAAGTCCTTGAAAAGCAATAGTCTAATTTCCTGATGTGCGACCTGAAGAATATTTATCCCCAGGAATGTCAGAACGGGTACTCAACAGAAGGGTTGTGAGCTTTGGAAAACACATTCAACACGACTGTTACACCGCCGTTGTGCAGGACTTCCTGGAAACCTTCCGGTGCTAGGTGTGCCAGGTTCCAGTGCACATTATAAATCACCAATAGGTGAAGAGGACAGATGTCACGTCCCAAACTTATTTGATCATAAAATCCTCCACGCTACCCTCAAGCTGAACTCAAGACGAGCATTTCTTAAAAAAAAAAAAAAAAAAAAAAGCAGCTGAAAGACTAAATTATGTCACCTTACTTCCTTTTATTCACAGTTCCCAATACAGTTTTGTTTTTCAAGGGAAAAGACTATGGTCCATCAGAAATGGTATTTACCAACAGATTTTTCTCTACCAGGGCTCAACAGCAACTTCTCGGCACAGGAAAATATTCTAGTAACCGTGAACCAGCCCTGTGAAGCAATGAGATGGGGCAAATGTCTGATTTATGAGCAGTGATGGTGCCACTTAAAGACACCCCGAGTTTCGATCTCTTTCGTAACAGCCCTTCCCACCAAGTCCTACCCCAGGTTTTTTTGGTTCTCCCCGGAAAATACGCGAGGCTTACTATGCACCTCAGGCAAGGGGGATGGAATGTAAGGGAAGTAAGTCAAAGGACATCTTACAAAAGCTCCTCCTCCCTGGGACTGCTCAAACCACTGATCCAATCTTTAAAAGCCAAACCCTAGGGCTGACTGGTGTGCCCCAGGCAGCTCACGCATATCCAAGAGCTTCTCATTTATGCCCCTTCCGAATCTGAGGGTTTCAGCTGACCCCTGACGGTCCAGGCACAGAAACAAGGTTGACACCAGGAAAAACACACACCTCTCTGAAAATGAGAATGTCTTCTGGACAAGCAGCGTCAGTCCACGTGGCCGGCGTCCCTGCAGCTCCCCTTAGAGGGCACTGGCTCAGGCCACCGCCCCCTTGCAGTAACTGGAGGGAACTGGTTCCTCACAATGGTGAGCAGCACTTCTGAGTCATCCAACATTCATCAGAGCAGATGGTCAAAAATTTCTGACACACCCATTAGGATGGCTATTATCCAAAAAAAAAAAAAAAAGAAAAATAACAAGTGTTGGCGAAGATATGGAAAAATCAGAACCCATGTGCACGTTGCCAGTGGAAACGTGAACCGATGCAGCTGCGAAGCAGTTGAGCAGTTCCTCACCAAGTTACACAGAGAAGTTACCGTACGATCCAGCGATTCCACACCTGGAGATACACCCCAAGAATGGAAAGCAGGGACGAACACAGACACCCCCATGTCCACAGCAGCGCTCTTCGCTGCAGCCGAAAGGTGGAAACAGCCCTAGTGGCCATCAACAGATGGGCAGGTAAGCAAAATGCGGTCCCTACAGTCAACAAAACATTGTTCATCCATAAAAAGGAATGAAATGCTGATACATGCCACATCATGGATGAACAGTGAAAACATTGTGCTACATAAACTGAACCAGACGCAAAAGGACAAACATTGTATGACTTATGTGAGGTGTCGGGACAGGCAAACACAGAGAGATAGAAAGCAAAATAGACGTTACCAGAGGCTGGGAGAGTTAGTGTTTAATGGGTAGAGTTCCAGTTTACAATGATGAAAATATTCTGGAAATAGACAGTGGTGATAGTTACACAAGACTGTCAGTGTACTTAATGCCACTGAATTGCACATTTAAAAATGGCTTAAATAGAAAAATTTGTTTACCAAAATGAAAAATATTTTGAAAAAATTTTTGAGGTAAGAAGTGCCAACACATTTACATTGTTACACAATTCATACTCCACGGTTTATTTGGATCTTGACTAATTTTTGCTGGTTCGTGCTCATTTCCTTCAGGAAGGCAGAGTTCTTGGGGTCTCTGTTTCTTTCAGCTGTGCCGGATTCACAATTCTAAGAGAGGGTAACTGTCCTGACCCACAATTTAAGCAAATCATTTGGCTCTTAATCCCCTGATTAAAGCTCAGAGAAAGGGAAGAAAGTGGAGGGATGGGACGGTGGGAAGAAGAAAGGACTACTGACTTGGTAATTTAAAGGTTTCTACCCCATGGACTCCCTTGTTTGGCGAGAAAAACGGTTTATTCCACTGCCCAAGCTCTTTAACAGACCAGGACCCATCCACCACACATCCCAGCCATTCTGCTATACCTCGTATGTTCCATTCAGTAATTCTTTTGAAAACAGTTCAGCAGACGTTGAACCAAACAGTCCCCCCAGTGCTTACTAAATCAGGCTGCTACCTGCTTTACGGTGCAGCAGCCGTCAGAGATCCCCAAATCTCCACACCACTGAGGAAGCAGAGGCTGCCTAAGCCAGGAACACACTGGAAGAAAGGTGGGGCCAAGCTCTCCCTTTATTATGTAATAGAAATCCCGTGACCAGAGTGCAGGCGAAGAGCGCTTGCCTGCCCTTCAACAGCAGTTCTCCGAACTCCAAAATATAGAAAACAGCCAAGTAAACGTCGAGCTGGATGATGACAGTTTATGTCAGGAGTTATCAGCAAAAGACCCGCATTATTTATTTTCTACATCCTGCTGCTGCTGGTCTTTAAGGACAGAAAACAGGGGGAAGAGGAGAGTAAGGAGGGAGAAGACATATTTTCCCCCCTCAAATCAGGTGAGGAAAACAGCATTTTCCTAGCCAAGGAGTACTTATGACCTTATAAGCAGATGTGATTTCATCTGCCACTAGGCAGATGTGACCCGACGCCTAGTGAACTCTGTCCCTGGGTCAATCCAAGAGTCTCCTTTTATCCTCCCACTCCAGGAATTCAAAAACTACAGGGTTTAAATTAGTTTTACCACCAAAACTTAATTAAACAAAGTAATTCTACTGAGGACCCTAAGGAGCTAAGACACCATAGCTCAAAAATTATCTCTCTCTGGAATGCTGTCTTGGAGGAAGACATAAGACCTTTCAGAATTGTATTCAATTCCTTCCCAAAGGCTTCTCTCGACTTTAATCTTTGGACTACAGAGACAACATACGGAAGTTTGCTTAAAATGCTTTGGGAACCAATAAGAAAGGCCATAAAAAAACAGGTTTCTGGACCAATGTGAGTTGAATAGGAACAGCTACTTTTTATTTCTGTAACTATAAAACATTAGGGGCTTTCTGAAGCCTTGATACCTGTCAATTAAGTTGCTCAGAGAGTAAGAGTAAGAGTGTGGGACAGTTTTAGACAAAACCAAAGAACACATTTCTAACTCCAGCCATACTTGGTTACTACTGGCAACACAATATTCACAAATTTATATTTGTGTAGCTGTTAACAGATTACAAAGCACACAGCTATATCCTGTCATTTCATACAACAACTTGACAAAGTAGTTAGGGTAAGTATTAGCGTAACTACCATCCTCGACCCTCTGTCCAACCATTTTTACCTTAGGAAAAAAAGTTCAGCAAGGATAAGGGATTTGTCCAGGTCACTCAGGAAATGATGCCCCTGTGCAAACCCTCCATCTCAGAGACCACCTCTACTCCTACACTCTCAAAGATCACACCTAGAGGACAGGTAAATCTACATCTTTACCTTCAACACCCGAGTGCACAAACCCTGCCACCTGAGAGCAGGTATTTCTGTGCTCATTCACATCTCATAACTTAGACACAACATACCACCTCCCACACAACACTCCTGTTCTGTCTATAGTACCAGCACTCCCAGCCACGCAGGCGCCGGCACCTATCTCAGCCTTCATTTTCAGTTCCTCCTCCTCACTCTCCAGTCCTGAACAAAGATATACCGACAACTTCTCTTGTAGCAAGCACAGGTTTGAGTTGGCCCTTCCCACGTTCTCAACCCTTACTTGCCTCATCATTTTCTACTGATCAATCCAATATCTGACCTACAGATCTTCCCCCTCCCTGCAGTTATCATGTCCCATTATAAAATTATTCTCCCTAAACTCCCACATCACTTTAGCACTCCCAGACATCTCTGGGATAATGTTCATGATACTCAGACACAATGAAACTATCTTTCCAACTCCATCTTCCACTACTCTTTCTATAAATATAATGCTAATTAACATTCTCTTGATCTTAACATTTCCCCCAAATCCTTGAGGTACGTAAAATCCCACTTCACTCCACTAAGGAGCTCCAACAGTGAGACCCTGGCCTTTTATGGCCTGGCTTGTGTTTTTCCTCACCCTCCTCTCCAACCCTTTGTCTCCACCACCAGACTGTCAAACCTTTGATGACCATCATATTTCATGTCTATCTCGCCACAGTGCCAAAAGCAATGTCTTGCCCAGCACAGGCACCCAGACAAAAGCTGACCAACAATGGACGGGAAATCCTGAGACCACAGGTCCTTCTGGGTAAGGGGGCTCCATGTTCTTCATATACAAAGAGGGCATTACAAGTCAGTCAGCCATTCAATATATATTTATTGACCATCTCTTATGTGCTCTGAAGTATCTTGTAGTAGCTTGTTAATTGAGGCTTGAACCACTGTAGTATCATATAGTAAAAATATTTAAAATTGTACCCCTTTTGTTTAAATTTCCAGGAAGAGTGCTGTCTGAATTTCAGCCAGTTTTAAAGACCTGGGATGATTCTCATCCAGGGAGGAGAGGGCAGAGGAAGGAGGGGGTGAGAACTTCTTTAAACCGATGGATTGCACCTATTACACTGTTCCCTCCCTCTATCCCTCCCTCCCCCTTCCACTCTGTCTCGCTCTCTCTCTCTCTCACCCACACCCACACACACAATTTTTAATTAAAATAAAATATTTAATGTGGGTTGAGATTGGAGCTTTAGAGAATCATTTCATTTTATGGGCTGTTCTGCAGTAATCTACAAAATGTAAAAAAGGAACAGTACAATGGAAGTCAGCAGCACGAAAAGACAGTGGTGCAGATGAGAACTCATTGGAGCCATACAGCAAGGTTCCACGGAAATATCCATCACAGGAATCTCTGGACATACCCTAACCACCTCCATACTCCCCTGCTGTCAGCAAGGGTCTGGGCTCTTCCCTCAAGATGTACTGTCTCCTTCTCAAACATAGCATGAACACAGACTAGACACTACACTGAAATTCCCTTCAATTCCTCCCTACTCTGTGAAACAGGACAAAACCACATGCTAAGGCTACAGAACAGCTGGTACACAGGTTATGGGCACAGGGCTACAAAGAGATTGCTGATACTGTTCTTAAGTCATTTCTTTCAACACTGAGAAAGGCTGACTGCCTCTTTGACTCTAATACTCCTAAAAAGGCTTGCTTGATGAGAAACAAACTCTAGATTCAAGATAAAGGGTTCTGTTTTATAACTGAATATTTGGAACTTCATTCCTGATTCTCACTTGCCTCCATTTATTTGTAAATAAAAGAATTCCCCTTCTTTCTTTGCAGGGATATTGTGATTCATGATACTATGTTAAGTATCTAGCTCTGGCGCACACACACACACACACACAAAAACCCACTCAATAAATGACAGCCATTTTTATTCTCAGATTCCTTCCTTGGTAGATGATCCTGGGGTGCTGCTGCTACTGAAGATACAAACCCAAACTCAACTTAGGATCCTAGATTATCTAAATTCCTCACTTAATTATCACAAAAACCCAACTACCTGGAACAAGAGTGAATAAGGAACACAGAGGCAACATGGGTCATTTAACACCCTTGTCCCAGCTTTATGAGGGTGAATGTCAATTATGCTGGTTTAATCAGCACAAGATCTTTGGGTTCATGAAGTAATTCATAAAGCTGCAAACAAGTCTCTATACACAATAAAGAACTGGCAGATACATTACAAGGGGAAAGGACTTCTTCGGAGAGATACTTGTTCTTACTGTTCCAACAATGACATACAGTTTAACTTTTTTTATAGTGAGTTATAATGGCTTTGCCAGAGATTCTGGGCAACTCGAGGGAATGGACTTAAATAAAACTTATCTTTATATCCATAACATCTTAAATGGTTTCTAATAAACACTCACGGAGTTTAACCTATGCCATACTTGTCTCAACCGGGTTCTGAATAAGTCAGACAAAGGAAGGTGACTATCCCAACTGCTG